ATCTACTAAAATGTAGTGAACTGCTCAGTGTCTTTATATAATATTATTGTATGCTTAGATGTTTATTTTTAAAATCAGCCTTCTTGCCAATTAGTTTTTTCCGCTTTGCTAATTAGCAAATAATTAAAGTCAGGCCTAAGTTTGCGCCGCTGAATTACTTTATTGTATAAGCTTTAAGCGATAAAACTAAAAAGGCTTAATGAAAATGCAATCACAACCGAGTGTTTTATCTCAGCAGATAGAAGGAACCCCAGCACTGTAGTTTGCTTTGAATCATGCGCTGCTGGCTATTGGTTGGGAAACACGTGGAGGGGGTGGAGGGAGACGCATTGCTAGCAGTAGAAACTGGCCGCTCCCGCTCTCACATATCTCAGACCGAGATCGTGCTGTAGTGTTCCCAGGTTAGCAGCAGATGCTTCAAGGGCAGAGGCTGCTTTTCTTTCAGGGAGGAGGATCCTAGCGGGCTGCAGATGGAGTTGCCCACAGCTGCTTTGTTCTGCTCCCAGCTCACTGAACTAGCTTTATCATCGCACAGAGAAGCGTTTAAAGACAAACAGTCCTACCTCGCTTTCCGCTTCCTAAGGCTTCCCACGTGTGATTGATTCACCCTGTTCCCTTGCATTGCATTAGGCTGGGGAATTTCTGCACAAAGTTAAAAAGCTCTATGACATGCCTTATTATTTCTGCAAACATAGGTTAAGCCTTTTCCTATGCGGTCAGGTCTATGATGGGTTTTTCTCAGCGTGGTCTCCCCGTGCACCCTGTAACATATATCTGAGTCCATCCCATGTAGCTCATCTCTTAAACTACACCTCATAGCACATCTCATCTGCTACCGTCTGTAGCATTATGCAGATCGACGCTGTCTCATTCCTTTGGTGCGGAGCCCCGAGCTCTCCGGTGGCGGGCGTGGCCCTGCGGTGTGCCAGGCAATGGAGACTGCCTGCACCGAGCTCGGTCCCAGACGCTGGAGGAGCCACCTTTGGCTCCTCGTTGTCTGAGGAGGCTGGAGAGGAGCCTGTGTCTAGCAGACCTGTCCAAGGAAGATGAGGGGTGTGGCCCTTGCTAAGCGCACTGGGATCCACCGGGCTGCAGAGGATGTGGGAAGGAGGACGGTGGGCTCGGCTCTGCGCTGGGGACATTGGGCGCACATGTCCTGCGGCTCCTCCTGTGGCCCGGGCTGGGCGAGGTGCCTCATCCATGCCGCGGCGCCTCTTCCCTTTGTGTCCCTCCCCCCGCTGGCCGCTGGCCCATGTGACAGCATTGCTTGCAGCCTCCCCGCGGCTCCGTTAACTCGCATCCTCCCCCGGCCCTCCCCCCGTGTGTCACTCAGCCTCTTTGCATATGTGCCCCCCACCCTCCCGGCCGCAGCCCATATACCCGCTTCCCCGCACCGCAAATCGCAGCAGCCGGCGAGCGGCCGCCTCCTGCAGCAGCAGCGCCTCCGCCTCCACTCCGCGCAAGCGCTCGCCCGGCCCGAGTGCGGCTGCCCGCGGGTCTCCAGTCCCCAGCCTGGGCTAGAGGAGGGAGGCACCGCAGCCCCCGGCGCGGCCCGGCAGGAGAAGGGAGGAAGAGCGAGCTGGAGGCTGCTGGCCGCCGGGGAAGGGGCGGGACAGGCTCCCGCAGCCTCTCGCCTGTCCTGAGCGGCGGCCGTGAGGCAGGAGGGAGCCCGGCGCCGCGGCTGTAAGTTCCTGCGCGCGGACCTGTTGCGGGGGGTCGGGCGGGCTGGCGGGGGGCTGCTGTCCGCAGGCGGGAGGACCGACGGGCGGGTGTTCGGGCAGCACTCGGGGAAGGAAGCAGCAGCTCTTCCCTCCCTGCTGGCGGTGCGCTCATGGCAGGACGCGTTTCTGCGTCCCCAGCCCCGGGAAGAGAGAGGCTGTGGAAGGAGAGGGCTGCGCGCTAGCCTGCCTCTCTCCCTTCGCAGGGATCGCTCTGACTCTCACCCCAAAGCGAAGCGAGCAGGGCGAGGGACCCGTTGCCACAGACAGCCTTGCGGGTGGCTGAAAAGGTGCCTTGGCAGGGAGCGGAAAACTCTCCGAGCTTAGCAGACTTGGTGCAACTTGTTCCATGCATAGATCAGCTGGCGCCCTGATTGCTTGTATTGCAAAATGAAGCAGTCCTGCACTGAGGCTGTTAAGTTGGGAGGTATTTTCATCTCACTGCCAGGGCGCATTTTCAGCTGCCTCATAGCTTTTTTTACTATACATATGAACTGAGTCTGTCTATTGATCTCTAATTGAATATTGAACGACTGTGTGGGCTTGATGGTCACATCAGACCACCCAACTGGTAGATTCTCTGCATTAGTAAGCATCCTGTGTTCACTCCTGAAAGCAGGTCCCGCTGTTTGTGCACCATGTGCCCATTATCAGAGGGGTAGTATCAGAGGGGTAGCCGTGTTAGTCTGAATCTGTAAAAAGCAACAGAGGGTCTTGTGGCACCTTTAAGACTAACAGAAACATGTGCCCATTGCAACCTTTTGAAAGAAAATGCAACACTGGTGGATAGATATTTGCACTAACCGTTAGACATTTCTGGTATGTGTCTGTCTTTGGCAAATAGAAACACTTGCTTCCCGTAATGCTAGATACTAACCTTAAATATTGACTTATTGTAGTTTCCTGTTTAAATTTTTCAAATGACTATTTTGGAAAATACACATAAGAAATGTCAGTTGACTTTTTAATAAGGCTGAGTAACCAGAATTAGAATGACCATGAACTTTTACCACTTTCAGAATCAAAGGCAAAACCCATTTCTTCTATTCTTTCTTCTAGGAAGTTTTTCATACACAACCAATACAATGCTCATTTACACAGATAAAACAGAAATCTGTATAAACTAATTAAGTTATTTCTTCTGCAGGTTGGGAAGAAACAGATACTATTTCTGATTTGAAATACTGGGGAGGTGTTCAGATACTACATTGAAGGGGGAGCATATAGGCACGTGGATACATAGGTATGTACTATCACACAATCATTTTGAAATGGTCTGCATTTGGCAAAAAAAACAAAAAACCAACAACAAAACCAGGAACTGTACAAAAAATTAATGCATAATAAGTGATGTCCTGTTTTACACTTCATGTAACTTCTGTGCAATGGGTTATATTGAGGAATGTTAGAAAGGGGTTGGGCATCACTGCAGACTTAGCAACTGAAAAAAGGATCAATTCATGCAATGGGTAGTTGAGCAACAGTGATTCCCTCTCCTCCCCCCAAGTATCTCACTGGAGAAACGATGAGATTATAGTGGTCTAATAGGAAGTTGTATCTTGTACATAATGTGCAAATAACTGAAAACACTTAATTTTTTATTTGACTGAGCTGAGACCTTCAGAACCTAAAGCTGTTAAGAAGGAGGGCAAGAGGTTGTTGAACATTGTGTACTACCAGATTTGAGGTTGCTGTGACAAGTAGCTTGTTGAAGTACATCATAAATCAATCCCTTGCTTCAATGTCTATTTCATTAGTGATTCATGATAAATATATATTTGTATTTTACTGACCATTTGTCCTTTACATTCAAATGTTATTGTTTCTAAGGAAAAATTCCCTGAAGGGAGTTGACACTTTTTATTCAAGATGAACACCTGCTCAGTGACTCTGTGAATTACCTCTGCTGAAATGTTTGAGGCTTGCATAATTTGAAGCAACAACTAGAGAAATCAAAGATGTCTGTTTGAATAGTTTTATAGCTTTAAATATACTTATTAACATTTTGGCCCAAATTGCATTTTCAACAATTGCAAACCCAGACTTATTCACAAAAACACTATTTTGCTAGTAAATTATAATAAATCTTTTTTTAATGGTACTTTGCCTGTACATATTGACTGTAGAACAACTCAAAAACTAGTGTGGGACTTGAGGGGGAAGATGTACAAATATGTATCTTTGTTCTTTTTGAGGAAATATGTTTAGCTTACTAAAATGTGACTTGCCACACCTTGAATTCTTCTAAATAGAGAGGCAACTTTAGAATGATACAGGTAATGCTTTTGTTACAGTTTGCTAAAGAGGAACATTATGAATACTGCAAGTAATTAATAAAAATGGCTTTGGTAACTGAAAGATCAGATCTTGTCTTTTAGGATATTGCTGTGTGCAAAACAGAAATGAGGTGAAACCTTAAACTCCCTATCCCAACAAAGTCTCACAGTGGCTTTTATCATTTTTTTTGCAGCTGAAATCAGTATTTCTTTCTAGGCCTGTGGGTGGGCTTGGGCAACATGCAGTGATTTGCACTTTCCTACTTCTGTCACACCTCTCTGCATATGGTCTGTAGTTCACCATTCTCAAACATGGGGATAACTCTAGTTCCTTAGCTCTTTTATTTTGTGTTCAGGACTTGATCCTGCATGGTTCTGTGCAGCCACAAATCATGAGAACTCACAGCACCACTCTGGATCAGAACACGCCTGTATTTGCAGTGTTTGTAACTTTTTTTTTTTTTAATTATTATTTAGTGCTGAGTGCTGTTGGCATGCTTAGTATTGCAGCAGTACACAGCGGGATACATAGTCTCGGATGCAAATAACTCCATCCTGCAGTGAATACCACTGGGAGGGGCGGGGGATCCCTGTGTCTGTTTGGTCCTCCATTGACTTAACTGGGGATGCCCAAAAGTGCCGGGATCTGTCCATGTGGGATCTGTCCATGTGTAGCTCGTGTTAGGATGGGCACCTAAGGACCTAATCCTATAAAATGCTAAATGCTGCCTGGGGTTGTTGAGTGCTGCATCTCCCACTGACTTCAGAGATTGGAAGCTGAGGTTGCTCCACACCCCACAGGAGGCACTCGGCCTCTTGCAGGATTGGGCCCTAAATGTGAGACAGACCAATCCAGAAAAACATACAGAATGTTGTGTATTGAATCATAACCAGGGCCGGCTCCAGGGTTTTGGCTGCCCCAAGCAGCCCAAAAAAAAAAAAAAAAAGTCGCGATTTGCGGCGGCAATTCGGCAGGAGGTTCTTCGCTCCGAACGGGAGTGAGGGACCGTCCGCCGAATACCTGGATGTGCCGCCCCTCTCTGGAGCGGCCGCCCCAAGCACCTGCTTGCCAGGCTGGTGCCTGGAGCCAGCCCTGATCATAACAACTTATGGAATTACAAAATCCCTGTAAAGGTTTTGAAATCTGGCTCCACAATGTTTGCCAAATGAGGTTTGATCTTCCCACTTTTGCATCTAAACTGTTGATGAACTAATACCCAGAGCCATGATCCTATGTGTAATTCTGTAGCCACAACAAAGCTGAAATTGAGGCACATGTTCAGTTTAACCTTTTGGCAGTAGGATAAATGGGTAAATTTCGTCCTGGATTAGTGTATGTGACCCTTGAATGTCCTCTGAATGATGATTATTTGTCAGGTAATGCAATTATATTTTATGGGTAATGCAATTATACTTACCATGTAAAAGTAGTTGCATGTATTTTAATAGCATACTTGGCTATAGTTACTGCAGTTAACCTAAAACATTGGTCCAAAGTGCTGTGTACAGCTCATGTTTTCAGTCACAATGTAAAGGGCTTGATCTAAACCTTACTGAAGTAACTGAAAAGATTCCTATAGATTTTAGTTGGCTTTGGATCAGGCCTGATAAAGACCAAACACTATGTATTTCCCATGTTGTTCCTTCTTTAAAATCCTGATGATAATCATTAGGAAATTAAGTTCCAACTTAAAAGACCATATCATACATCAGTTCAGCTTAATTTAGGGCCAACCACTTGCCTTACTTAACCCAGAAGATTGGCCCATACGAAATACATAAACTTGCAAATGGTTGGAAGAGACCATGGAGGGCAGCTGAATCCTTCCAAGGTCACTTATAACTTGCTTAAAATGGGAGCAAAACAGCGCTGGTTTTGAAAGGACAGGGGTAGCAACATAGAATATTCTTTCCTCCCACCCCCAAACCAACAACTGCAGACTCTTGTTCTCTGAGAGCCTAACTCAGGGGGACTGCAGAATAGCAGTCAGTACAATTTACCATGCCAAGACTTTAAGCACATACCGTCACTCAGTAGCAGAGGACCACTGGAGATAAACAAGATGTAGATTTCTATAATATTTAGCCATGATATTGTAATAAAGCTTTGGTCATGTAACAATATCCTTGCAACGTTATCTGTCTCTGTCTTATCTTTCCCACTTCCTGCTGTTAGATATGGAACCATTATATCAAAAGAAATCATCAAAATGGAATGAGTACATTCTTGTTCTCCCATGCAGTCTTTTTACATTCCATAAGGTATTCTGTCTGGTAGCTCTTCCTACTATGATTCAAAGCAGGAGAATGTTTCAAGTGTGGGTATGTGATGAATCAGCTGTGCTACACTGGGGAGGAGTGAGAAAATCAGCTCTAGGTCTTTATTTTTCCTCTGTCTTCCTTGCCTAATATTGTCATGAAAGTTGGAGATCAGGTTTCCCAAGATAAACCTGCTCTTGGGCAATAATAGTGGGGCATGTCATTTAAGAAACTCATCGGGGAAAAAAATAAACATATACTGAAGTAGATATAATTCTTTGTCCTCTCATGTCTATAATAGGCTCAGAATAGGCTTCCTGTTTCCAATGATTATCAGGGATGCATATAATTTTTTTTAATTAAAAAAAGTATGTCATAAACATTTGTCATGAGAACCCTTAATCTTATTTAGTTTTTGTTTATTTTTAGGTGTGGCAGAAAATGTCAGTCAGCATGCATGAGAATCGCAAGTCTAGAGCCAGCACTGGCTCTATAAACATATACTTATTCCACAAATCATCATATGCTGATAGCGTCCTTACTCACCTGAATCTTCTACGCCAACAACGGCTTTTTACAGATGTACTTCTCCATGCTGGGAACAGGTCATTCCCTTGCCATAGAGCTGTCCTAGCTGCATGTAGTCGCTACTTTGAAGCAATGTTCAGTGGTGGACTTAAAGAGAGCCAGGCTAGTGAAGTCAATTTTCATAATTCTATTCATCCAGAAGTCTTAGAACTTCTGCTGGACTATGCGTACTCCTCCAGGGTTATCATCAATGAAGAGAATGCAGAGTCCCTGCTAGAGGCTGGAGACATGTTAGAATTCCAGGATATCCGAGATGCTTGCGCAGAGTTTCTGGAGAAGAACCTTCATCCCATCAACTGCCTTGGTATGCTGCTGCTGTCAGATGCTCACCAGTGCACCAAGCTTTATGAACTCTCTTGGACGATGTGTCTTAGCAACTTCCAAACTATCAGTAAAAGTGAAGATTTTCTCCAGCTGCCAAAAGACATGGTTGTGCAGCTCCTTTCCAGTGAAGAATTAGAAACTGAAGATGAAAGATTAGTATATGAGTCAGCTATTAACTGGGTTAACTATGATCTGAATAAGCGCCACTGTTATCTCCCTGAACTATTGCAAACTGTGAGACTGGCTCTCTTGCCAGCCATCTACCTTATGGAGAATGTAGCCATGGAAGAACTTATCACTAAGCAAAGGAAAAGCAAAGATATAGTAGAAGAAGCAATAAGATGCAAGCTAAAGATCTTACAGAATGATGGTGTGGTCACCAGTTTGTGTGCCAGACCTCGTAAAACTGGCCATGCGCTGTTTCTTCTGGGGGGCCAAACCTTTATGTGTGACAAGCTGTATCTGGTGGACCAAAAGGCAAAAGAGATCATTCCAAAGGCTGACATCCCAAGTCCACGGAAAGAGTTCAGTGCTTGTGCTATTGGCTGCAAAGTGTATATCACTGGAGGCCGGGGATCAGAAAACGGAGTCTCCAAAGATGTTTGGGTGTATGACACTCTTCATGAGGAGTGGTCAAAGGCTGCCCCCATGCTGGTAGCTAGGTTTGGGCATGGTTCTGCTGAACTCAAACACTGTTTGTATGTAGTAGGAGGACACACTGCAGCAACTGGTTGCCTTCCAGCTTCCCCTTCAGTATCCTTAAAGCAAGTAGAACAGTATGACCCTGTGACCAACAAATGGACAATGGTTGCACCACTTCGAGAAGGAGTAAGCAATGCAGCTGTAGTTAGTGCAAAGCTTAAGCTATTTGCTTTTGGTGGCACCAGTGTTAGCCATGACAAGCTGCCCAAAGTTCAATGTTATGATCAATGTGAAAACAGATGGACAGTACCAGCCACCTGCCCCCAGCCCTGGCGCTACACAGCTGCAGCTGTTTTGGGTAACCAGATTTTTATTATGGGTGGAGATACTGAATTCTCAGCATGCTCAGCTTATAAATTCAACAGTGAAACATACCAGTGGACTAAGGTGGGAGATGTGACAGCTAAGCGAATGAGCTGCCATGCAGTAGCATCTGGAAACAAACTGTATGTAGTCGGAGGCTATTTTGGGATTCAAAGATGCAAAACATTGGACTGCTATGATCCCACATTAGATGTATGGAACAGCATAACCACAGTGCCCTATTCACTAATTCCCACAGCATTTGTCAGCACATGGAAACACCTCCCCTCATAACTGTGTGTATTTTGTGATTGCAGCTTGTCAGGTAAGAAGTTATACCTATGAATACAAATATAATAGTACTTAGCACTCACCGTTCTTTACATCCGTAGATCTCAAAGGAGGGTAAGTACATTATTTGTATTTTACAGTAAGGAAAACTGAGGCACACAGCTGTTAAGTGACTTGTCCAAGGTCATGCATCATATTAGTGACCGAGCCAGGAATGGAACCCAGATTGCTTGGCTCCCAGCACCATACTCTCTTCACCGGATTGATCACTTTGCCTCACAGTTTAGATGTTGAATATGTAATTTCCACTAGGTGTGATGCTGATGGGAAAATATGGTTTAATTATTACAAATTCAGTTATAAATCATTAACCTGCTAGGGAGAGGTGATGTTTCCTTAACTACACAGAACTGGTCAATCAACATGAGGACCTAAAAAGACTTCTGTTAACCCTCTAATCATGAGCTGCAGCAGGGTGGTGACTAGTTCAACTGGACAGCGCTCTGTGTGAACAATCTTGCTGCAGCTGCATTGTTACCAGTGGCTATATAAGGTATTGCACAAACACATTGGGCCAAGTCCACCCTTCTGCAACAGCTGAAGTCAATGGAATTGCACCTGCTTATGCCTAGGTTGAATTTGGCCCATTAAATATACTTTTAAAATGCTTGTTTTTCAAAGGAAAGTTGTGTTTATGTGTCTGACTGTATATAATGTCACTCAGATATACCAGTAATACTGTGGTTCAAATAATTACTTGGCAGTGTTCCAAAGCAAATGCAACCTCATTTATAGTTAGGCATAATGGGCCGAACTCACACCACATGCAACTTCTTACAGGCAAGTCTAAATTTGGCCTTGCTTGTTTTTCTGGTTATGTGGCTCTGCTAAAGAAGGATTTTCTACTTTTTGTTTCTTCTTCATTTGGAAAACCATTAAAATATCTGAGCAGCCCAAAATATGAATGTCAGTTTATATCAGCACCACAAAACAGAGTTAACTTGCTAAGCATTGTCTCAAACTAAATCTGATTTTTCATTATTTCCCCCCATCTTTTCCTGAATGGCATCACTTAAGCTAAGCCTCGGATATTTTCTAGAGTTCTTACGTGAGTTATTTTGCATTAAAACTTAGGAATACTGTGCTTCAGTGTGTGTTGCTCAGTTTTTTCTGAGAGCCTGCAATGCAGCAGCATGGCTACAAACACATTCCGATGGCATGTTTAACCCTCAGAAGCATGCTATGTTGCCTAAATGAGCCATGCCCTGCGAGTAGTAATTTCTTAAGGGATTTGAATACTGCATAATGCAACCATAAAACCAGCCAGGTTGCAAAAAACTATTGAAGGAAAAACAGTTTAAAATAATTAAATCAGCTCTGCAGTAACTTTTGCAGTAACCTAGAGCCTCCAGATCAAAGTAGATACCTCAGAAAGATAATGATACCAGTCTGCTTTTATAGACTTCATAGCATCTTGCTCTTCAGACGGGTCACGTTGACAGGATTTTATTGGCAACTGGACTACAAGGAGATGGCTGGCTGGCTCCTGCAATAAATAGCAGGACACCTGATTGTCCTTGTAACAGGATAAATCTAATAATCTGGGAATCATTGGGGAATTTTTTCACCCAATGGTGTGCTGAGGCCTCATCTTGCCATTTCCCCTTGAGCTGAATTGGAATTTTGACTAAGTAAGGAGTGCATTTTTGGGCCACTACAGAATAGCAACTCAGAGCTGAAATCTAGTAGGAAATGTAGTGAGGTCATGTTTCCAATGACACTTTGGTCTTTAAGTTGAATAACCACCTGTAACTTTTCCATCTCCCCCCACAACTTAGTCTTAGAAAAACAGAGTCTTGGATTCCATCCAACATTTGCAAACATTGGAGGTTGATTATATCCTGGGTGTCTGAGATTAATTGCTCACTTCCGATAACTCAAACTGAGCAAATAGGCTTCTTTGAGACTACTTCCTTGCTAGCTGGAAAGCTGGGAACACATCTTTAAATCCATACCATTCAGGCAGTTTCTATTACTCATTTCAGCAGGGCTCAGTGTTATCAGAACGGTAGTAATGAATGCCCAGACTCAGGATCTGTGCCAAGAAAAATATTGACTTTTATTCTCCTAAGATTGACTTCATTGTTCTAAAATTTACAGCACATAAAACAGAGGTTTTTTTTTCCTGAAAAATAGTAGTCCAAATATAATGGCACTTAAGGCTTTCGTTTGCTTTGCAATATCCTGTTAAAGGCCATTACTTTAGCCTCACTAGCCTGTAAGATAACTGGATGAATGCAACCGTAAACTGAAACCTCTCTAGTGTGGCATGCTCATCCAGCCAGTAGATTTTTACTGACTCCCACTGTTCTGTCAGTGGGTGGGAGGGACAAAAAGGAAATTACTTCTGATTACCCTCTGTTTTCATGGTGTTGTGTGGCCCCAGCCTGCCACAGCTTAGGAAGATTTTAGTCTGCTTTGTTTCTTCCTTCAAACTTTGCTCTTTTGAGTAGCTTTGTTTTATTTTCCCCTTGAAAGATTAAATTTTGTTGGTTTTTTTGGTTAATCATCCCATGACAGGAAACATTATTTTGGCTTCAGTGTTGAGATATACCTTTCAAGAAGGGAAAAGATGACACATTAGTCTGAAGAATGTCTAGGCGACACTAATCAGCAATAAAAAATTACATTGAAAATAATGAAAAGGGTCTGTCTTAAACCCCCAAAGGCAAAGAGATTTCAGGCTAAGGCTGTGAGTATACCCTGCTGTTCTTAGGCATTGCGGCACTGACAATATAGGGCTACATTCTGCTCTCCTGCACATATGTGTGTTCATTCAGATTAACTGCATTGACTTGAGTAGAGTTACTGTGCATGTGCACCCTAAATTCTAGCTGTGCTGTCTAAAGCTACTGTAAATATGAGACTGGTGTCTGGTTTGGAAACTTGCACTTAACATAGGCTTCATAATTAAATATGGTAGCCAAATCTCAGCATCCAAAGGCTATATTTTTCTCTGAATAATCAACTCCTGGAAAAGACTCCAGTGTGGAGTTGTTGAGGCATGGTGCATTGTCATGTGAAAAGAAGCGAGACAGATTTCTGCCATAATGAATAGCAGAGAAGTTTTAAATAAGGGGATTAATATGTCCAATTTCTCTATGGTGAATAAATTCAATTTAGAGTTCTCCGTGGTGAACAGAGGAGAACCCGCACCCTCCGGCTCCCTCCCAGCTCTTTCTTCAAAATCACTCTGATCTAGTTTGACATGGCCCATGAGTAGAATAAACTGGTTACCCTAATAATCTGTGAGGCTTTTCTGGAAGAGAGAAGTTGCATGAGGTTGTTTTCATTTTTTTATTTTTATTTTTTATTTTTTTAAGCATATCCCCATCCCATTTGTTGAGAACAGGAAAAGCCGTGTGGTGTAAAATCCAGCAAAAATAGCACTATCGACCACATGCTATTTAACCTTTTATTTTATAAGGGTCAGATTCACACAGAAGTACAACTCTACTCCGTGGCTAGTCCCTATTGGAGTCTCTGGGGCTGCTTGCAGAGTAAGGCCAGGCAAGTGAAGGAGGCAAAATCTGACCTAAGTGGTGTGGTTGGTTTATTTACTATCAGTGATTAGTTATTACACAGAGACATGTAAAAGGCTTTTAGGTTTTTTTTGACATCTAATGAAAACCTTATTGTATATTGTCTCACGAGAATCCTCTAAATCTTTTCTTCTCCCCCTCCTTTTTTATTTAGTTTGCTCTGTTATTTGGAGAAGAGACTTGGAATCTCAGCTATGGAGAAATGGGTTTTAATGAAGAAAAATCGTTCAGAGTCTTTGAGTTTGAAGAAAAATATCTGCACCTTGTAAATTATCTAACCTGGACATGAAGGAATGGGAGGAAAAAACTGTCTTTGGTGCATCAGCACATGGTTTAAATATGAAAGAATGAACTTATGGTCTGATTCCTTGTACTAGTAATTGTGGATTAATGTCAGCATTAATCAGACCTTCAAAGGGAGGGGATGGGGAAAAGGAAAAACAAAAGAAGTACAGAACTTTCCATAGTTGTGCAACCTACAACTCTTGATTTTCATGGACTCCATTGTGTGTGCGTGAAATTTGAAATGGTTGTCACCTCTCACTGTGACAGTTTGAAGCATCAGCACCAGCTGCCAGGGAAGCAGGCCAGGTCTGAAACAGTGAGATGTCGCTGTGAATGAAGATACAGCTGTGTCACTGCAGAGTACTGCTACAGGAATTAACTTGTTTAGAGGCAGTGTCTGAAGAATCCATTAGATTACCACTTTGTGGTTTCCTATCTGCAGTGAGTGACCTTTCATTGGATAAGGAACAGCACAATTAAAAAAATAAATAAAAGGTTTTTGCAATAGTGGGGAACTAAAAAGAAATAATTTCCCCCAAATGTTTGATTTCCCTTCCTCCCTGTATTTATAGGTGACTTAAACTGTCCCATGCCTGTTATGTTACTTGTAGATGTAGCTATTTATTGTTCAGTGCTTGCATGCTGAAACAATGCCTGCAGATGTCTTCATGTTGTAAGGATTTGTGTGATTTGTTGTTTGTTTTGCACATTTTGTGGTCTCTGACTTGCTCTGCTGCACACAAAAAAGAAAACTGTTGAGTAATAGTTGGAGGTGGGAGGGAGTGAGGGGATGGCTTCCTCAGTCAGAAATGGAAGGATTACAAGGCAGGATCTTAAATTACACACATACTAAAGGAAGAAGCCATGGAGGTCACTTTCTCAGGCCACCAACTCCTCAGGTTAGATGTGGTGTATCCTGTAGATAGTGTCCCTGCTCCATTTCATTGGCCTGCTCATGCCTTTGAATTTCGAATCTGGAACTAGCCAAAACCATTTACAGCTTTCTCTTTGTGCAGCCTCTCAGTTACCTAGAAGATGCTGTGGGATGGTTTCTGTGTACAGAGCCCCGAGAAAGGCATTGGCCAAAAAAAATATTTATTTATTTATGAGTTTAGACTATGGGACATTTACCTGACTGAATGGAGTCTGGCTGACTCACAAAAACAAAATAGATTAGTAGTGAACTAGTTAAAAAAACAAAACAAAAAACCAACAACTTGCACTGACAGGATTGGCTCCTCTGTCTGCATAGAAGTGGGATGAATGAGTGCCATGGTGTCAAAGACCCAAAAGGCATGGCACAGTTGTTACAACGAAGCATGAAAAATTGCAGAACTAGAACTTAAAAATAATCCTTAAGCTCTGCTGCATCTTTGATCTTCACACAGCCAGATGAGTCTTCAGACATTTTGGTATTGAGAAATGTCAGATATGATCATGATAAACCAAAGGATTAAAAAAAATACCCATTTTATTTGCTCAGTCTAGTCTTGAGTCGGGTATGAACCCAATCTTAACTTCATTTCTTTACTTCTGTTTCACAGGTGCTTACCTTGCCAGATTTCATTGTGAAGCACGTGTTGTGTTTTTCATAAGTCTGTTGAGCCCAACTTAATAACAATGTGGTCAACAACATGGTTGTAGTATTCTGCTGTGGTATAAGTAAAGGATTTTTAGTTGCATGCATGCATGCAAAAAAAAAAGTAATTACGTTGATGTTTGCATTTCTCTCGATGATGAAGTCACTGTGCTCTTTAAGCTTACCATCTGAAAACGTTTACTGTGATCACCCTTAAATTTTTCTCACAAGGGAAGAATTTTTAAAGGGTGACCCCTGGTTTGACATGAACAGGACTCCACAACTATATAGTAAACGAGTTACAGTTATAGTTCCACTAGGTTAGGTTGAACTGTTGAAATAATAACAAAGAAATTTAAAAATCAATCCCCTTCTTCTACATGGCTTTAAACAATAGTCATGCTTCTTAGGTAAAGCACCTTTCTATAAGCCCGAGTTGCCCCAATAAAATAAATGGGCTGGATTCTTCACTGCCTTGTATGTGGGGTAGTCATTCACACCTGTGCAATGTGGGTGTAAAATGTTCCCAAATCCAAATTGTCACGTTTTACATCCTCTTCGCACAGGTGTATGTGGTTACACAAGTAACAAGGAAGTGAAGTGTTGTGTCCAATGGGACTACTCATTTGACTAAAGGTATATCTGATCAAGCCCTCTGTTTTCTTCATTGAATGAAGGGATATAGTTCTGTCTTGAAGCTGCACCATACATTGCTATTTAGCCTCTGACAAAAATCTGTTTTATAATACCATGTAACTTCCGAAAGTGGGATGAATTTTCTGCAGCTGTTTTCAAAGTTGTGGTGTGCTTTCAACTGCTTGATTAATTCCTATGTGTAGGCTGAAGGAAACTGAAGTCAGGGTGGGCCTCAGGCCCTGCAGGGAATATTCTGGGCTTCTGCTCTTTGAATTGATGTGGGAATTCTGGCTTACTACTTGACCATTCCAGTCGTGCAAAACATCCCACACTTTGAAGCAAATGCAATTCACAGCAGAGTGCACACAAAAACCTTGGCATAGGACGGGAAGGTTCTTCTTATTTTGTGGGCTGGTTGCTGTAGAAACTTATAACAAAGGACAGCCTTCCACTTCTGGTATAATTGTGTAGACCCTTTTCTCTAGGCCTGACACCTGTCTAATAAGAGTGATTAGAGCTGAATAATGCCCCTTCCCTGAGTATTGAAGATGTGGTTCACATACTAAAAGAAAACTGTACAAGTAAAGAAGGAAAATGTCTATGTTCTGTCTCTGTTTGCTACTATATTTTAAAGTTTTGTAAAACTGCATTTTTTTTTTCACAATGTGAAACTGAAGGTCAATAAATTATTAGAGATTTTCTCTTCAATGAGTAGTTCCTTTGAGGGTTGGATGGGTTGGTTTGTTTGCAATTTTTTTTATCCTTGTAACACGCATCTTTTTCATAAAAAGACATCCTTGATATGTAGTTTACTGGTTTGTTTTAAACTTCTGCTTCAGTTGCACTTGGACTGTTCCCTTTGTTCTATTAGGCCATTTTATTATGATCTAGCTCTCAGAGTTCAATAGATAAAACTACAAGAGCTTTAAATCAATAACAGGAACTGCAAGCCTTTGTGATTTCTTTTGGCCTTTGAAGTACAGTTTAGGGTCTAATATGAATCTAGAACAAAATTAGACAAGTCAGATCTTCCAGAATAGCTCCTGAGGAAAAAAGGTTGCTGGCTCTGTATAAAGCATTTTAATACATACACATATAAATATATATATACACAGACACACACACACTGAGCCAAAGTCTCCTCTTATTTAACTAGCACAGCCTATGAATTTCTAAGCTTACTTTTTATGGTATAAAAGATTTTTAATGCTATTGGTTTTATGCTTGTATAACACCAAGGATCCCCAAACTCTTTTACAAACTGAGGCCCCTATCTTGCAATGAGACCCATGCATGCGTACTCCAGGGTACTGCCAAGGTTTGTGGCCAATGGCCCCATTCTTCTGCCTAGGGGAGGGATAATTCTACACTTGTCAACCCATTGTGATTCCAAGGGATTTTTGCTTGGAGGTGGGGGAGGAGGGGAATGCTCCCCAGTGAGAAAGACTGGGTGTTCCATTTCTTAACCTGCAGATCACTTGAGAGCTGCACAGCATTGAAGGATGCAAGGTGTAGCCTTGGACTGCTGCCTGGCTTCACTGGCTCCCACTATCTCTAGATACTATAGTTGTGCTTTCCCTACCACGGTTGTCCCCAGAAATCCCCTCTGGTCTGCAGGATAAGCATGAAAAGCAGTGATTTAGTGGATAGAGCATTGGGGTGGGAGTCAGGAGACCTGGGTTCTTTCACTGGTCTGCTGTGTGACCTAGGGCAAGTCATGTCACCTCTCAGAAATAGAGAGGGACCATGTTCAAAAAAACTTGGTCCATCAAGAGTTAAAGGACTGATTTAAAGCCCACTGAAGTTAATGGACTCCATTGACTTCAAGGGCCTTTGGATCAGGCACTATGTGGGTATATGGCTTCATCTTTGGTAGTGTGGGCTGTCAATGTACAATCACTTGTGTGAATATGAGACAATTACATTTAAAATCAGCCCCCAACTAATACTGCAACCTACAGTAACCTGTTACTGTGCTTAACAGTGCAGTGCTTTGGGCAAGACCAGAAAGAAAAAGATGTAGTTTTCCCAAATCCCCTAATCTTGCTACTAGGCTTTCACTAAATTCCGCTGCTACTCCCTGAGAGATTCAATAGCCCAGTTCTTTTCAAGCCCTCTTTCTGCTCAGAGGCTTCTGCTGATCTACTCAGGGACACAATACCTTGTGACTTATAGGACAAGGCAGAGCTAACCAACATAGCTTGAGTATCCAGTGCTCAGCTGTTTACAATCCATAGCGTGATGAAAACAAATTAGTTGGTGGAATAATTTAGAATAATGAAAAAATTGGAGGAAATTGCAATCTTCTGAGATAAAAAAGGATAAATTCATGGAGTAAATTGTTCCCTGCACCCTATTGCCTCAACACTGCTCTGGGTCCTGCATTTACATCTAATCTGGTAATATGGCACTATGTGCAGCACTAGGCATGGCCATGATGACTCAGAGTTGAATGCCACCCGCATCGTTTCTTGCAGCATCTAGTTGTTCTTGGGAGGACTTCCATCCAAACACTGGCTCGGCCTGTCCCACTTAGCCTGTGAAAGGTGAAGGGATTGCAGGGCAGGGTGATTGAAATGGATGGTATGAATTACCAAATGTAAATGCCAAGAATCAAGATGGTAGGCACAGTAAGAGTGAATAGTAAACACTCTAATAATTGCCTGGGGTCTCCATTTATTAGCATTGTGGTAGGGCTCCTTGTATTGAAATGAAGCATACCTAGATGCTCAGTCCTCAGCAAAGAAGGGCTTGAAATGCTCCCTTGGCAACATGATCAGTCCCTAGCTGACTGGGGAGATGAATTGTACCTACCTCTGGCAGAGACCTCAGATAACATGCATAGCATTTCATGTCAATGTAGTATCACAGGATTGATGGGGGGGAAGGAATGCCTTGTATCATCCTGCGGGGACTCCAGGAGTAGAACGGATGGGTTCCAAAAGGAGGGTTGATACCTACTGCTTGTCCAGGATAGATGCTGCAACTTGGGACCTTGACAGTGATAAGGGGAGAGAGCTAAAGCAGACAGAAGCATGTGCATGTGAGTGTATGAAATGGCAGGATCGTCAGAGCTTTGTCAAAGCAGGTACAGCATTTTCTGCTATTGTTTTTAAAAATAAGGTATAATGAAGCTTTTTAATCTGTTGTGTATAGATCGTATGAATGTGTATGCAAGTAATTATAGAGAGAGACACTGGAGCAGCTTGGTGTGGGAAAGCAGAGTAGGCATCTGGGAGCTAGTTAGGCTCTTTGGCCCAGATCCTCAAAGTTATTCAGGCTCCTAACTTTCATTGAAATGAATGGAAGTTAGGAGCCTAAATACATTTGAGGATATGGACCTTTGATTCTCCTGGTTGACCCTGCCTCCAACATGAGTTAGCACAGTTTACTCTGACTTAGATTACTGGCATAGGCTTCCTGTTAGCTCTTACACCAGTGGAAGAGTGATATGATGTAGCCTGGTGTCACCATACGCTTTTTTCATCCCTATCATGTCACCTTACTCACGCTTCCTCCTTGCCCAAATGGTGCAAAGGGGCTGGAGCAGAAATGAGAATCTGGCCCATTACATGTGTCAGTGTGTATGTATATGACATACACAAACATGCATATGTATCTTATAGGTAAAGGTGAGGTTTACACCCAGATTTACATTGCATTTTTAGGCTTGTAAATGTATAAGGTATGAGTTCCCTCAGTGTCTGAGACATGCAGGTAGATGAGACCATCTGTCTGGAATGTGACTTTAATGGTGATCTATGAATTTTAAAGCATCATTATTTGTCAGAGACGGTACAGCTAGGAGTAAGAGTCAGCCTCAATATGTAAGGCATGACTATGAATTAAAATGAGTTTAGTTAAGTAAATTACAAATCTCTCGCAATCATGTTTAAGCGGTGCTTCTGGCCCTGCAGTGGCTTTGAGAGTCTCAGGAAACCAAATTAGACAGTTTCCCTCTTTTTCTTTTTTTTGGTCCAGTTGCCCTAGTAACCATACTCTTTATCTCTGAAGAGATGGGGAGCTGCGGAGGAGGGAGAGCAGTAGGAATTTCAGCTAAAACCCCTGCTAATCCTTTTCTTATGTTATCAGATTTTCACTGTTCGGTTATTTCACACTTGCATACTAGATGATGCTGGGGTGTGTGTTTGCTATTTTGTAAATTCTGAGGCACTTTTTATTGATTATATGCGGATCCCTTGATTCAAAAATAAAATCTATGTCTGACTGCATTTAATTTTCACAAAACTAGAGAGACAAGGTGGGTGAGGTAATATCTTCTATTGGTCCAACTTCTGTTGGTGAGAGAAACAAGCTTTCAGGCTTACATAGAACTCTTCTTCAGGTCTGGGAGACAAAGTGTCACAGCTAAATACAAGGTAGAACTGATTGTTTAACATCAATAGTTTAACATGTATTTCAAGGTACCATTCAAGGTGAAGTGGCCCATTAATGCCCTTCCAATCATAGGGAGGAAAGGGGGGAGGTTGTTAGTGGGCTATAGATTGTTTTAATAAACCATAAATCCAATGTCTTTATTCAGTCCATGATTTTTGGTGTCTAGCAAAGTTATGAATTTAAGCTTCCAAGCATGTCTTTTGAAAGTATGCAGGTTTCCTTTGAGGATGAGGACTGATAGGTCAAATATAGAGTGATCGCTTTGTGAAAAGTGCTCACCCACAGATGACATGGTGTTTTTGTTTTATATCGTTTTTCCTGTGTGAGTTCATTCGAAAGCATAGTGATTGTCTGGTTTCACCCACATGGTCGCTATTGGGGTGTGTAGAGCACTGGATCACATGTTGTGATAGGCATGTGTAGGACTCATGGACTTGAAAAGTTTGTTGTGATGGGTGTTGATCATTGTAGTAACAACCCCCCCAGCTGCTTCTCCCCTCCCCCACTTCCTTTCCTCACTGTGACTGGAGGATGTTAACTGGCCACTTCACCTTGTTGTTGTTGTTGTTGTTCATCCTTCATGTTCGAAGATGACCATGACATCACTGATTGGTTTGGTTGATCAGGGCAATTTGAGCTGTAAACTGTCTGTGACACACTGAACAAGAGATACTGCTATGAGTTACTTGATTAACAGTGGACATGCTGCTGTTGCGGGATTTATGTTACTGGAGCTTCTGCTCTGCCTCAGCAGTTCTCCTCTGCTCATAGACTGTAGCTCCAGTATGGATGAGATTTCACCAGATAGAAAGATAATGAGTGAGATCTTCCCAAATGTCTGGGTCAATGTTGAAATGCCTCAAGAATAACTTGAGGGAGTCCTTGAAACATTTCTTCTGGCCTCCCTGAGAGCGCTTTCCGCTCCTTTAGCTCACCATAAAAGATCTTCTTTGGCAGCGGCTCATTTGACATTCTGGTGACATGGCCTGCCCATCTCATCTGTGATTTCATCCAAAGAGTATGGATGCTTGGAATTCCCGTATGAGATGCCTATATGAGAACCTCATCTGGAACCTTGTCTTGCCATCTTATCCTCATCAGTTTTCTCAGATAGCCCAGGTGAAATTTATTCCGCTTCACAGCATGGCATTTTTACACTGTCAAGGTTTTGTATGTATACGTCAGAGTTGGCAACATGACGGCTTTTCAGTTTTGTTTGTTGACTAATGCCTCTACGCTCCCACACATGTGCACATAGTCTGCCAAGGGCCACACTTGCTTTGGCAATTCTGGCGTTGGTTTAATCGTCA